TTGAGCACCTTTTTTTGCGGGCGATAGCTTAGCACGTGCCTTTGTTGGGTGTGCGTGTACTGGTGTTGTCTTTCCTCAACTGAGACCTGCGATAGGGCCGCGGCTTTCACCTTCAGAGGTCCGCTTCGGTGTGCGGGCAGTGATTCAAAGGAAAGAGCGAGGAAGGGAACCCCGACGGAGGAGATTGGGCGGTGGAACATACCCTTTTTACCTTTCGGCAATAACGAACCGTGGACCGATCTGAATCATCTGGAAGGGTTGCCTCTTTCTTCGCCTCCTTCACGGCTTACCTACTTTTACCACACACTTCCGACAACTGCAAGGTCAACTTCCTCGTGTCATTCCAGGCTTCGGCATACCATCAACTTCAAGACGCTCGACAAGAGGAGCCGGTTCCATCTTTAGTTGAGAAGGCCATTCATCGCTCAACCCGTCGATTAGCCACCTGGCATCCACTTCTTTATTTCTCAATCACAACTTCCAATTAGTTACACAGCCAATCCCAATATCTCTCCTGGGCGCGGGAAACCTTCCCACCAACCTACAAAATGGCAGACCCATACGACGCCGACATACCCCCCACCTCCAACCCATCGCCCCTTCGGCACCTCCTCACCTCCCTCCACTACGGCTACCCAGCTGCCGTTTTTATCTACTACACCATCTCGTCCACCATCGCAGTATGCACGCTCCAAACCCGGTCCATCACCGAGTCCAGAGATCACCCCCGCCGGCGATTCATATCCTGGCTGCTAATGCTAGCAATCCTTAGCTACTTTGCCCAGCTGGGGAACTTGCTTTTTGAGGCTATCACCGAAGATAAATTCCCGCCGGCGGATCAGGATGTTATCATTGGATTACTCAGCTGTGCGCTGGTGTTTGGGGTGCAGTTTGCGGGGCTTTGGGAGGCGGAGAAGGCGGTGGTGTTGTGGCCGTATATGGGGAGTGTGGGGATGGGGATGGGTTTTGAGCCGGTTTTGGTTTGGTTGAGCTGGAAGACTAGGTCCCCGGAGGAAGGGGCGTTGGGGTTTAGGGAGGTGTTTGATTTGTGCGCGGCGGGTGGGAGGTATGTGGCGTTTGGGTTAGTGTTGGGGTTTTATTTTGAGGGGATTTGGAGTGGGAGGAGGAGGGAGAGGGGAAGTGATATGGAGAGACAGGGGTTGTTGAATAAGACGAATGGACATGTGAATGGGGTTGAGTCGGATGGGGAGGATGGGCAGCAAGGGAGTGGGTATGGGGCTACGTCGGATAGTTCGACGGATGCTAGTCAGAGTCCGACGACTGATGCGGTTGAGTCTCCGTGGGAGAGGAGGGAGAGGCAGGCTAATGAGGCGATGGAGAAGAGGTTGAAGGAGAAGGGGAATTGGGTCACGTATGCGAAGAGCTTTTTGGTATGTTTTGGGACATGATATCTGGTGGGTGGAGATGAAGCTAACATGATGGGTACAGGTTTTCTTTCCCTACGTCTGGCCGGTCAATCATCGATCACTTCAAATTCGGGTTGTATTGGTCGGAGTTTGCTTGCTCGCGATGAACGCTATCAATGTTTTGATCCCACGGCAGATGGGCATCATTCTGGACAGCCTGGCTGGCGAAAATGACAAGAACCCCTGGACCGAGGTCATCATCTTTGCTGGCCTGAAGTTGATAGCGTCTGAGGCAGGCCTTTCCCTCTTGCGACAGTGGCTCTGGATCCCGGTTGAGTATTATTCCTTCGATGCTATGAGCACGGCGGCATACTCCCACGTCCTCAACCTCTCGTCCGATTTCCACGACTCGAAGAGCTCTTCCGATATCATGATGGCTATTCAGTCAGGTCAAAGCATCTCCAACATGCTCGAATCGATCTGCTTCCAGGCGGTGCCTATGCTGATCGATATGACGGTCGCATTCATCTACCTGTCGTATACGTTTGGACCATACGAGGGCTTTATCACCATTGCTACGGCAGCCGTGTTCTTGTATATCGCCACTCGGATGATTTCGAAACTGAAGACTGCGAGGAGAGGGGAGGTTAGTGCTTGGTTTAAGGAGCACTATGTCCGACAGGCTGGTATTCAAGGGTGGTCGACGGTTACTTGCTTTAATCAGGTTGGCCACGAGGAGGCGAGGTACTCGGAGGCTGTCAAGGACCGTGTGTCCAAGTCACAAAAGGTGTATTTTGGCTATGTGGTTGCTTACGCTTTCCAGTTCTTGGTGTTGCTATCTGGTTTGCTTGCCGGCGCTTTTCTGGCGGTTTACCAGATTACGCACCACCAAGTCACTCCCGGAAAGTTCATCATGTTGCTGACGTACTGGGCTCAGTTGGTGGCGCCGCTTACCTTCTTTGCTGGCTTGGGCAAGACGATAAGCAAGGATCTTATCCACGCCGAGCAGCTGTTGGAGATTATGCAGACGAAGCCGACGATCGAGAACAAGGAGGGGGCGCCGCCGCTGCATTTTACGGGCGGGCGGGTCAAGTTCGAGAATGTTTGTTTCTCGTACGACAAGAAGAAGGAGATTTTGAAGAATATCGACTTTGAGGCGACGCCGGGGATGACGGTTGCTTTTGTAGGGGCGACGGGGGCTGGGAAATCGACGATTTTGAAGCTGCTGGATCGGTTCTATGATGTGACCAAGGGAAGCATCAAGATTGATGGGCAGGATATACGGGATGTGGATTTGTTTAGGTATGTGCGGAAGAGAGACGATTGGGGCAATGGGGATGGGACTGACATGAAAACAGCCTGAGAGGACAAATCGGGATTGTTCCGCAGTCTCCGATTCTGTTTGACGATACGATTATGAACAATGTCCGGTATGCGAAGCTCACCGCGACGGATGAGGAGGTCCATGAGGCGTGCAAGGCTGCTAGTATCCATGAGCAAATCATGGGATTCTCGGATGGGTATAATACTCGTGTTGGGGAGCGTGGGGTGAAACTTTCTGGCGGCGAGCTGCAGAGAGTGGCGATTGCAAGGGCGATCTTGAAGAGGCCGGCGATTGTGCTTCTGGATGAGGCTACTAGTGCGGTTGATACCGAGACGGAGCAGAAGATTCAAGAGGCGCTGAGAACGCTTTGCCAGGGAAGGACGACTTTTATTGTTGCGTAAGTTTTCTTGCGTTGAGGGGTTTGTGAGTGACTGCTGACAGTGATGAACAGGCATCGACTTTCCACCATTATGAACGCTGACCGGATTATTGTCGTTGGCGGGGGAGAGATTGTCGAGCAGGGGAGTCATGAGGAGCTGATTCTGCAAGAGGACGGCAAGTACGCCGAACTCTGGTCGAAGCAGATTTTTGTCAAGCCCAAGGATAGCAAGGATTCTACCACCGACAGCAGCAAGCCGGCTGTGAAGGGCCGGAAAGCGCCGAATATCGTCAACGATTTGAGCCCTGAAGCTACCAACTCGGTGCTCGCCAAAGTGACGAATAAGCCGGCGCAGACGAATGGAGATGCAACGACCAAAGATTCCGACAACACCGGCAATGGGTCTGCTGGTTCAGAGAACACCAAACCTGCGAATGGTTCAGCGATCAACGGGCACAAAAAAGAGGTATGATTGATAGAATCCCGTTTGCACTGAAAGCAGTGTGTGCCGAAATATATTTTATGAGATATAGTCGGATATACATATAATTTTGGTGATTCGGGGTTCTATCATATCAGGGACTCTTTTCTAACCCGTGTAGGATACCTCGTTGTCGACATTGTCGAGCCGTCTGAAGCTTAACCCCAGTGCGCCAACCTTTACTCCTCGCATCTCTACCACCGCTCCGTCGAGCCCAATTAGAAAAGTTGTCGATCGATCATTTGGTGTTCCGGGCAACGCTAGCCCACGGATTATGCCTTCGGCTCCTGCTCCTCCACCCTCTCCTGTTGCCCTTCCTCGTTGTCTTGTTCCGCCGGCTGGTGCCATCCCGCCGAATCATCATGTCCAGTTCTTTGCCACGCCCGTGGTTATGGTTCCTGCTGGGGCGACGCCTTATCAGTTGTTTCCATCTTCTTCGTCGCTGGGGATGAGACACACGCAGGCAGGGGGGCAGGGCTTGAGGCAGGACGCCAAGCAACAGTACTGGGGGAAGACCACAACGACAATGATGGGCATGGGTATGACGACCCCGAAGAAACCGAGACTAGACTGGAAGTCGATCTCGCCGCGGACGCCTGAGACAGATGAAGAAAAGGGCAAGGAGAATAGTGCGGGATCGTCGAGGACTTGCTGTGATGATGGGGCGGAGAAGGATATGGAAAAAGGTGGTGGTGATGAAAAGGGAGGAGAGACAAGGGGATATTTTCCGTTTTATTCGAGGAGGATTCAGAGCAAAAGTGAACCGAGTGGTTCTGGGGGTTGTGAGAGGGGGGCAAGTCGATCGGGTACCGAGGTTGAAGAGGGGTGATGAGCTTCATTTTCGTTTCTTTCTCATTCGATACCTTTGACGCTGCAAGCATTGCATTTATAGAGGGGTTTGAAGGGGGTGTTGGCATTTTCCTTTGAGCTCGATGGTTTTTTTGTTTTTTCAGTATTACATTAACATTAGAGATGGGAGGTGGGGAGAGAGCTGGGGGGTGGTTTTTAAAAACAGGCTCATTCACGTTTGCATTCTGTTCAAAGGGTTAGACAAAGTTTTCTGTTTTCTTTTTCTGAGGAGGGGGAGGGGAGGAGGAGGAAGGGGGGGACAATCATGATAATAGGTGCTGGAAAATGGTTAGGTAGGGGGCGATGGTTTAATTATTTGGGGGGATGATAGGTAGGGTAGTTTCATTAGGCTTATGATAATGATAACATGAGATGAGAAAGGGAGGAGGAATAGGTACCTGTTGAGTTAGTTAGGTGTGCTTGGTTAATGAGATGAATATTCTTGATATCTGCTTTTTGGTGTTTAGAGGACTCTGAGCTGAATGCGTGTGTTATCTATTGCTGTAAGAATAAAAAGAGCCAGATAATCATCACGCCCATGCTGGGCAAACGGGCGAAAATCAATGGAAAAGAAAAAAAGCAACGCTCACAAACGCTATGTGACGGGCCAGGAGTCGAACCTGGATCTTCGCTCTAACTCGGGAATACATTGACCGCTATGTTACCGCGCCACGAATGTCCTCCCAAAAGACTGAGATTAAGAACTGGGCACTGGTTGTGTCTCCGGTACTGGTGGGAGACTAAGGAGGTGTGGCGTTCTCTTAACCTGGTTGTGTGTGAACCTTCAAACGGTCCCTTTTGGTGCCCAAGAACTTTTAGGGTCTGGAGGGCAGTTGGGAAATGTCAGAGGGGGGGGGGGTGGAAAACAGTGACTTTTTGTCTTTGGTAAAGCGGTTGTTCTGTTTTGTTGTGATACCTAATTGTGTTGTGATATGTATATTGTCCCGAAAGAAAAGAACTTAGTTCCCAACTGCCATGATACATACTTTACACCGTGATAGGTACCTATCTCAGCGTTTTTGCCAACCCAAGTTGACCAACTTTGTGTTCTTGTCATGTAAACCATAAAAAACAGCCAAACTTTTATCTTCCATCCCATCACAAATTATTTCTACTGTGAAAGCTCAGTCAAACGGTATCCTCCGCAACCCACCGCCTCCCATCCCCCTCTTCCTCATCTCCTCCGCCGCCGCCAGCGAGCTGGGCACCTTGATCCCGCAGCAGTCCCCCCACCCCACCGCCTGCTGATGCACATGCCTTTTTCCCTCACTATCATCAAAAATCTCCAACTTCCCATTCTCCAGCTCTTCCTCTGTCAGCTCAGGCTGCTGCTCGGCCAAACTCCCCATCTCCTCCGTCGCTGGGATCAACCCCCCAAACAAAAAATGTTGCATCACTGGTAGCTTTCCGAGCACCTCATTGACAAACATTTTGCGCATGCCCCCTTCGATCTTGGCCCAGGACTTGGCAGAGGAGATGTCATCCAGCATGGGGGAGTGCCAGCGGAGTCCTTGGACGGTTTTGGTGGAGTTGACAAAGGCTACTTGGTTGAGGTAGAGGTATTCGGCGGCGAATTGCTCGAGGGTCAAGGCTTGGTGGATGGAGCGGGGGGTGATGTATTTGTGGGATAGGAGCTGGGAGGAGCCGAATAAAAAGGGGAGGAACTGGTAGTCGTCTAGGCCCCAGACGCCGTGGGAGCCGGCGGGTTCGAGGTAGTAGGTTAGTTGGATTAGGCGCATGAGGGAGAGGTATTTGGGGAAGACGATGAGGACTAGTGAAGGGAAGGTTGAGGTTGGGAGGAGGGAGAGGAGATGGAGGCAGAGGAGGAAGAGGAAGAAGTTGAGCTCGTGGCCGGAGCCGTAGTCTATTCGGGAGGGGTTGCCGAAGGAGTGGTGGAGGTAGGTGGATAGCTCGGGGGCGGCGTCGGGGGAGGGGAGGTTGAGGAGGGAGAGGAAGTGGGGGGTGCGGGATTTGACTTTGTCGATGAAGGTGCGGAAGGTTTTGTTGCCGAAGCGGGAGCCGGAGGAGTCGTCTGGGGGGGTTGAGCGGCAGAGCTCTTCGATCTCGTTGAGGATGTCTAGTACGGCTTGGACGGTGGGGGTGATGGAGGAAGGAGAGACAGAAGAGATGGGTTTGTCGGCTACGGATTCGGAAAGGTGGAAGATGAATGATACCACTAGGGTATAGGTTGGGGAGGCGAGGAAGAGGGTGTGGTCTTTAGGCGTGAGGATGCGGCGACTTGGAGTTTGGAATTTGACGGACGACAAGTCCGGGAGGGGAGGTAGAGGTGGGGTTTCCGGGACAGGCTGAGGGTTGGAAGGTTCGGGTTGGCGGCGCCGGCGGGGCTCAAGTTTGGGTATACGGTCTCGGAGGTTGGGGATGCTGCTGGCCGGACCCGGAGCCGGGCTTGGCTTCCCCGGAGCTGGTGTCGACTCCGGCGCGGGGCTGACGACAGGCTGGGATGTGGCTCCGGTGGCTGGCCCAGCTGTTGGGGATGGGGATGCCATGGTCTTGCTGTTTGGCGCTTTCTCCTAGTGGATGAAGATGGTGCCAGAATTATGAGTTGAATAATCCCTTCAATGAAATCCGGTGAATGCGAGTTTCGAAGTTGAACGAGGCAAGGCTCAGATCGACTGATGTCCAGCCGTTGACGTTGCAAAGGCCCAATCTGACCCCTGCAAGCACTAAAATGCGGGGCAGTTTTTACTGGGTGAGTGCCGATCAGCCCATGAAATCGCTGCACTGCAAATCCAAGTCCAATCAACGACAGCCATTGGCAGCCTTCGAAAACTTCCACAATCCCAGGCAATAAACGGGCAAACAAACAAAAGAGCCCACTGATTGATTCATCATCCACTTGTCAAATATTTGACAGACTCAAAATGACAGTAACGACAGCACCAGAAGCCGCTCTCGGTGTCCTCCCAAGGGCCGATGGGTCTGCAAAATATTCACATGCTGGATACACAGTCACGGCCTCAGTCAACGGACCCATCGAAGCCCAGCGAAGAGACGAGCATCCCTACGAGGCACATGTTGACGTTATCGTACGACCAGCCGCAGGGGTCGGAAGTGAGGACCCCTCCGCACTATACCCCTCTATCAATTTCTCACCATGAGTTTCGCTATATAGGCACAAGAGAACGTCACCTCGAGTCCATCCTGCAATCCTCACTCACCCAGATTATCCTCGTCAAGAACTTCCCTCGCTCTCTCATCCAGATCGTCCTCCAAGTCGAGGACACACCAGAGAACGACTATGTCAACACTAAACTTGTTCAGGCCAGCCTGGTGAGAGCGACTTTGTCTGTTCATGGAAAGTTCTCTTGATATACTAACCTCCATGACAGAACTTTGCCATTATGCCAGCCTTGTTTCAGACAGCCGTTCTCGCGCTCTTGTCAGCAGGCGTACCCATGAGGGCAACGGCAACGGCGACGGCTGTTGCCATTGTTCCCCAGGATGGCACCAAGACGAGCGTGGTAGATCCTTCACCGCGAGACGCTGAGATTGCTCAGTCTGTCCACGTGCTGGCTTTCACCTCTCATGATGAACTGCTGCTTGCCGAGAGTGAAGGAGACTTTACTGTCAAGGAATGGGACGACGTCTACGAAACGGCCAAGCAAGTATGCTGCCGCCCAGTACCGGCCAAGGAAGGAATGGAGATGGTGCTCGACGACGAACATACCAACGGCCCGGATTTACGCCACTTCCTGCGGTCCACCATGGAGCAAAAAGTGGCATCTGATCTCCATTGGAAGTGAAGCGGCACCGAGGCCATACCTCTCTCGTCTTAACAGGAGCGGTATCATGGGAAGGAATGTGCCTGAAGTTCAAAGATGCAGCTGCATGGAGAGAGAAGACGTGTGGGTGGTGGATGCTGGACTTCTCGGTTGGGCCGTCCAATCGCTCGGAATGCGGAAACCAAGCACAATACAGCGCTTTTACGACGCAACGACAGATTTTGTGTGCCGGATCATGAAGATGGACGTGGAGGAGGTGCATTGGAAGCATGGGAGCATGCATGGTTCCCAAGAGACAGCCTGAAGTGTTGCGCGGCTAGGCGACTACGAATCAATGGTCGGCAGTTAGCCACGGCATCTGATGCTGAAGACATCAACAAGAACAAACTACCCCCTTTTGGGGGTCTTGACATCTTTCAGTATCTCCCCCCTATTTTTTACTCTGTGATGGAAGCCTGTGTTGACGTCTCAAACACATTGGTGGGTCTATCCGCACGGTCATGTTTGGGATTGCCCGTTAGCGGGCCGGGGCCCTGTTTCACCACCCCTACCCAGAACCCTGACACCGCCATCCTCACCATCGTACGACGGCAGCTTGCTGCGTGCGAGGGTCTTAGGAATGGAACCTCAAAACCGGGCCTATGTATGCTGGCTTCTCGGCCTCTTTCCTATAGGGGCTGCCCTGCAGCGCGGGAAGCCTACAGAGTTACTATGCAGGTGGACAAGTGGATGACATCGAGACTGAGTTAAACGCCTTGTGTCTCTTGTCGTTCTCGATTCATGCCTCGTCCAGACTCTCACGCCATTCCCCAGACTGTTACCAGAGCTGCCGTTCGGACGGCTGGCAGCCCCCTGCTTGATGTGCGCTTGCAGAGTGATGGGTGCGTCAAGGCTGTGGGCCAGTAGATTCTGTCAAGATGACCACGGCGAGCATGCCCTGCTCTTATTCGTTGCCAAAGTTTCCAAACATTGAGCAACGCAGGATTCGCACCAGGAGCTGGTGGATTGTTATGCGGCTGCTTGGACGCTTCAGCGGACCGTTGCAGAACGATCTCCAACACCAATTGGCCCGAACTTCAGATTCCCCAGGGTTACCAGTGACGGGAAACCGTGCCGCCAGGGGGATGTTGCTGCCGCACTAACATTCCCCTGGCCTCTCGCCTCCAGAAACCCCCAGCATCGCGGAGGCACGATGAGACTTCGACGCTCGAGACCTCTCTGGCAGTTATGTTACGTACTGCCGCATTATTATCCGTCTTCCAGCCTCGAGTAGGTCTTACTGCACTTTTGCGCATGTCAGCGTATTATTACTCCCTCCGTGTTACCCGTCTTGTAATGTAAACATGGACCAGGCTTCGAATCAGAATGCGACACGCCCACCATCTTCCAAGTTCAAGGGGACTTTGGCTTCTCAGCGTCTCTCGAAACCAGAGAAAGAGACTGCATCACAACTGCCGCCAGCAGACAAACGATGTCAGTGGTGGAATTACCCAAGACTCTTCGGCCGGATCTGTGATATGCGCCTTCTTTCGCATTATCAAAAGTTCTTTGGTGGTGTTAGTGGTATGTACTTTCTTCAACTTGAGGCTAACAACAACCCCAGAGTGGCAGAGGTACCTCCTGAAATGTACCATAACCCCACCAAAACCCTTGTCATGAAGCTCCAGAAGATCTTCAGCTGCACCCCCGATTCCTCGTCGAAGCTCCCATGCTCCCCCTGCCACGCCAGCCCATCCCCCATCCTGGGGCTTGTCAACAATCAGGGCGATATTATAAACCATCGACAAGTTTGTCGTGAACTTGTTTCCTTTCTCTGGTCTTCAGTCCTCATCTTGATGACCCAACCATCCCGCCTCCTTCTGTCTTCTTTACTCCCCTTCTCTAGCTCCGTGAGCATCACATCGAAGCGCTGAGCTCTGCGAGTTCTC